AAATCTGCTGCTCCATACATTTCTGCAGTTTACGATCAGCCAGTCATAGCCTCTCTCAATAGCCGATGATGGACAAGGCGTGATTGATGACCTAGCTAACCTTATTTTCTTAGATGTTGAGCTATACGGCTGCAGAAGTGTTTGTGTTGCTCAGTATCAGTTCAGGGAGCAGGAACGAGATAAACTCAGTGTCTATTTAAAAGAAATTAGCTTACTAACTGATAAAAGTTGCAACAGATATGCTCATCGGAGATCTAGCCCCACTTTCTATTAAGTGGGCTAAATATATGACAGTAGCCTCAGTTTGTGTTTCTTGCATGAACCTCTAAGGGCCACTGACAACATGCCATTATTAATAATTACTTCAAGCCTGTGCTACCCAAGTACCTCAGTCTGGGCGTATTACGCGACTACTACGAGCAAAATTTGGGCAGATTTTGGAATGGACAGAATAGGAATAGGAATCTCTGCTTCTGGAGTGGCTGGCTGGCTGAGCTATCCAGAGGACCTTTCCTAGGGCAAGATCGTGGACAGGCTCGAAGAAATCAGGTACCACATACCAATAATGAAGGAAAGAAAACAATGCTCAGCATTGGTCTTGCCCAATCCTCCCTCTTCTTCATTCTCATGCTGGTTTTCACAATTAGACATATCCATGAAGCTGGTAAATAGCTTCTAGCTACAAAGGCTGACAGGCTGGCTTTGTGGAAATCAGTGACAAAATCACACCCATTTCAGAAAAATGAGAACTTCGTCTGCTGTGTAAATGGCAGATCACTGATCATAAGTACTGTTTTTTGCAAGAGTATGAGATGATAGAATTGTCATTTTGGCACTGTTTGACACGAGAATATTTTGGAGCTACTCAACTACCCTATTCAGTTCAATACATAGGAAGGCTGTGACTGAGCTGAAATTAATTTTTCCCCAGTTTTCCCTAATAGTATGAGCATTTGGGTCTCAATTTTGAAGTAGGCCACATATAGACAAGAAGTCTCAGCCAAGAATGCTGGTACATAGACATCTCAACGCTTACTGAAGCCTCCACAACTGAAATGCAGTTTCAAAACAACCTTTATTCTGCTTGAAGACTTATTACAATTTTTAAAGCAACTTAAAAACAAGACACAGCTCCATCAACTCTATAGCTTAAACAAAACTTCAAGGAGGCATGTTTTCGTTGTTGCCTTGTAAAGGCAATTTACAACCCACTTTACCCTCCACCTCCTCAAAGACCATTTTAAAACAAAGTAACCTTAACGTTTTAAAGACATTTAACAGAACAGAGCTTTATTTTCAAAAACAAGAATTAAAAAAAAAAAAAGTAGCAGCATCTTGGGCAGCTAATGCAGTCTCATTAGGACAAGTGCAATGTAATGTTACCAACTCCCACAGTCCAGCTTAGTCTTCACCTGCAGTAAATACAACATGATCCTACATAAAACGTTGCATTTTGGAACCTTGTCCCATGGGAGGCATTGTGCTTTGAGCTGCCCATTTCTGAAGTGACCCTGAATAAAAAAATAGTATCAGGATTCACTTTCCCAACTTAATACCATGCATAGCAAAAGCACTGTGTGAAAATCGGCAGAAGTTTTCCCCATTAGAAGCATCTGAATGTTTTCCCAAGCATTATTATTTCATTGCCAATTACAAGACAAAGCCATTTCTTCACTACAGAACAGTTGACACCAATAGAAAATTTGAAGATTTGGTTTTACAGATTGATTGACATGATTTCTTAGATAACCAAACCATACAGACAAGCTCTTTTTTTTAATTTTTTTTTTTTTTTTTTAAAAAAGGAAAGAAAATACCCAACAACACAGAAACTCAGTTTTCTAACTGCATTTGGAAACATGCTGCACCCACAAAGGTCTAGTGTGCATGTGTGTGTGTCTTTAAACAAAGTTAATATCACTTACTGAATTCAGCAAAATGATCATGTTCGGTGAAAATGCACCTATACTGTGATCTATTAATACATAAACACAGCAAGTCTGCACACATATGCACAGATACACATCCCCAAACTTGCAAATTCAAATTGCAAATCAGAAACTCCTAATTTTGCTTGTGGGTTTTGTTTCCCTGTGTTATGCCTCATACCTTTCAAAGGCCTTGTGAAAGTGCTGCTGCAGTACAGCATAACTCAGGGATTTAAAATAAAACAAAAAATGCACCAAACCAAAGCAACGTAACAAAACAAATCCCAACCTTGAATCATATTAGATGAAAAAATTATGTGTCATTTGAAATACAGAAAAGCACCATGTTTCTTCAGTTATATCCCCGTGGTTTTTTTCTGTATGTATTCGTCTGAGATCAAATCAAAACTGGAGTGAACAATATGGTACGTTAAGGACAAACAACTCTGCAGTGAACAGGGCCTTCGGCAGGACACAGCTCTGTGCGTTAAGGAGGGAGGGCAATGCAGAGGCCACACAATACGTAAGTACCAAAGAAAACCCACTCATGCCAATTTGAGGGCATAAGCGATCCTTGCGAATTGCACAGACCCTATATGCAGGCAGAACTTCCCCGTAGGAAGCCCTAATCACTCACCCTCACAACATAGTGCTTATTTCTCATTGTTGCTTGTGCAAGAAAAGCAAGTGCCAAATTTGCACACACACTGGTTTTTTTCCTTCTCTGCTACAACCACCGATGAAGAGAAGTTGTACAGCATGACAGGAACAAACGATATCCATTACTGGGCTGGGCATGCTAAGGATATTGCCCACTGACATAGCAGAGGTTTTCTTAATAGGAAGAAAATCAGATCCAAATGCCTTAACTACGATAAAATTCCTTGACAAATGCTACGTGAAACATCAATTCAGATTACATATATTTTCCTTATAGAGAAAAAAAATACAATTTTACTCTTAAAATATTTAACATTCAAAAATTAATATGTGTCCAAAGAGTATCTTGGATTGCTACAAGTGTTAAATGGTTGTATACTGAACTAATTTGTAACTTCAAGCCCAGTAGTATAACTGGCATGCTAGAGTAACTGTTGGTGCTTTTCATAGTAAAAACCAGTTATTAGTAAACCAAATTTACATGGTCCTACAGGCCTGAAAAAGAGTGTGTTATGAAGAAGGGAAGGAATGAAGACTAAACTTCTATTCAGAAAAAATACTCAGAATGATTTTTTTAAGTGGTGACTATCCCTAAACATTAATGTTGGTTGAATCTTGTTTCCTGATATAAATTCTAGTAAGAAAATACATCTATAGGAATGCAAAGACAACCCACCAAAAAAAAAAAGAGCACAAAATAAAAATAAATCAAAAGCCTTACAGCCTCAGAAATGAAGGAATAATGTAAAATGAAAACATAATATAAAAACAACTGGAGACCGGCAAACTTGTTATTTCCAACAGCTTAATAAGCACTGCATACTCCGAATTAAAACACATGTATCTCTAAAACAGAGCTATTATGAGGGAACGCCATAGGTCTTACTCTTCTGCCTGTGTGTGAAACTCTCTTTAATAGTAATGGGTCTTGCCTTTGCACCTTGGGGAAGAATAATTTCATATGTTCACTTACTCAAAACTTTTCCAAGATTTCTCAGAACTTCATTACTTTATCCATTTGCAATGTGTGAATTTCTTCAATGGTCAGGACTATAAATAACCACTGCAAACCACCCACACTGAATTATCCCAGAAATCTTAGAAAGTTTGCTCTAGTGGTATTCAGGTATTTGTTTCTTTTAACTAAACCCTAATTCTGTAAAGTCTCTGGTGCCCAAAATTATAGAAGTGTTCACTTTGATACTGCCTCAGCCTACAAACTTACAAAAATAAACACAAAAATGTTAAATATGATAACCTAATCAGTTTAAAAACAGACACTTTCCAGTCTTAATTAGCTCTATGTTGTATCCAAACGTTCTCAGTAAAGGTGGGAGAGGTTTTTTTCACAATACTAATACAAAAAACAATCCTAGGCAACAGATTAGAGAAGCTTCCTTCATATGAAATGAAAATACCTTTATATACTGACAAAAATTCTGCCACAGTAGGTCAAGAAGTCATTTATTTACTATAAAGAGTGGATTCATTCTGAAATCCAAACTATCCCCAGTAGATAAATTTCACCTGTTTTATCTGCAATCACTATCAGAGGATACACAATTTTTTGTGTTCCAAATACAAAGACAATCATGATAGAAGTTCAAAATGCTCCAAGAAGCAAACATAGCATGGTACCGTATTCTAAAGATATCTCTGAAACAATATTGTTGGACTCAGTGATATTCTGTAATGTTCATATACTTTTTTATTGAATAAAGCAGCTTTGAAGCTTATCAGGCACTGCCCAACAAAATATTTAGTCAAAAAAAAATTATGAACTTTCAAAATTTTGAGCTAGTAGCTCAATATTCTATACAAAGAAAATTGCAAAATATTTCATAGTTTAAGTTCTGAAACCAACTCTTTCTGGCTTCCTGTACATTAAAAAAAACAAAAAAACAAAAACCAACAACAAAATGAGTAACAAAAAATGATCATCAGGAACAATATTCTTAGGCAAAAGAAAGAAAGAAAAAAGAAGACAATGAAACATGAAAGAAAAACAAGCTTAACCTGTAGATATGCTCAAGAGAAGACTACAGCCTAAAGAAAATTCAGTATTGCATAGCACAGTCTAGGAATTCAGCTTTCAGCAAACAGAACAGGGAAAAGAAAAGCAGTTTGGTATTGATAGTTTCCATCAATGATAGTTAGTCATCCAATACTATGTACATTATTATATACTGTATGCCATTGAAAGTCCTGTTTTCTTCAGCCTTAAATATATTCTTAAAACAGGATTTTTAAATGTCTAAACAAAACACTTCCTGGCACTTTGCTATGACAATTACTCTGAACAACGTACTGTTACTGAAGTCCTTTTAAAGTGTCCCTTAGAAACGAAAGTGCCATTCTGCTACATATCATTCACTAGAAACCAAAAAATCCACAATGCTGTATGTCTGGATCCACTGAGTGCAGCAACACCAAATCCAAGCCAGGTCCTGACCATGGAATCCCAATAACCAAATGACAAAGACCGCTTACACCTTGTATATGGAGAATCCAAAGTTCTAGCTGGTAAAGCTTCAGAAGTGGTCGTAAACAAGCACCATGGTTAAAGGCCTCTATGTCCCTGCAGGGAAATCGGGTTAGGATTTCTCTCTCTTGTGTTTTTCTTTCAATTTAAAAAAAAAAGAAAAAAAAAAAGCACTTCAGATTAGAAACATACGTTCACAGCTTAATGCTGTGATTTCTCCCACTGCAGTTGCGAAGGAAAGCTCTAGTCCCATCTGAAGACAGACAGCTTTAATACTGCAGCTCAAATTCTTGAGTAAGGCTGAGAGGAGCCTTCTCTCTCCAGAGGCCTCAATGTTGTCAGATCTTTTCTTTAGAAAAACACCAAACAACCCAGGGTATTAAGGTCTTCATCGCCTCTGCTGTGCATATACTGGGTAGGCTAGTGTGACATTGAGAGAGTCATTGTGCTGCACAAGTGATGTGTGTTGATAATGTAGCACCAGTTCTTTGAGCGAGTTGTACAAGTTATATGGCTCTGCAAATCCATACCCAGTAGGTGTTTTGTTTATCACACAGTGCTTTACTTCTCCATCCACCCTAAAGAAGGAAAAAAAGCAACCAGTTTTTAGTCTGTTGGTACAGTAAACTTAAGCTAGAAAATAAGGTATTGGAAATAAAACTTAAGATGCTAGTCACTACACAAATTCCTGTCTTCTGTGGCGGGATAATGGTAACAGCCTAATCTTAATCCAAATTCCCAGACATTGCGCTAGCTTAGGAGGGAGGACATAGGCAGGATTTAGCAGCTGCACATAAAGAGTGCATCCATGCTTTGGTTTCCCTTCCTCTGTGTGAGGCTCATCTGTGGGAGTGGCACAGCCCTGAGCTGTGTAGGAAATGGAGCAGCAATAAGAGTGGCCTCAGGACTTGCTGGTCTGCTTCCAAGCCCAAAGGTCCAACGGGATCCATGCATATGCAAACATCTACCCTGGGTCAAGGTAGGTGACTCAAATGTTGGTTACATCATTCACAAATCAGGATACATACACAACAGAGCAGGCATAGCAGCCTTGTTTGCTGCTCTCTCGAACAAGGAATGTTCCATCTCGCTTTCCCCGCAGCAGATTTTCAGCTTGGCTTCTATTGATATTTCCCACATTCCATGTTCTCTCATCATGATGGGGCAAGTCCTCATCATCTTCTACCATAGAGTATTGGCTGTTGAAATAGGACAAAACGTCTTTGTGAAACAAATGGCAGAGCAAAATCCATTAAAAGTAGTCCTCATTTCATATTACTTGGAAAAAAAAATATATGTATCAGTGGTTAAGTAGGATGCCTCCCTGGTAAAACTAGGGATGTAAATCACATAATACTGCACTGTTTAAACCACTGTATAAAAATAAAATATAAGTTCTGGTTCCTGTTTCTTTTAAAAACACTCATGTAAATCTGAGGACGGATGTGAAAGGATGCTGCGCTATCTCTCAGAATCTGCTGCGAGCACTTCAGCACTTCTACCGTTGCTCACTGTTTTGGTAAATAGCAAGCCCAACAAAATCAATACCCTCTGAGTCAGCTTCATTTCCAAAGATCAGAACACTTGGTCTGCAGTGAAAAATCATGCAATGTATCAACTACAGCTGCTGCTTGGGAAAGCTATGAGCAGTGGTACAGGTAGAGAGATTAATTATTTATAGGAGAGATGGCTTTGTGGAAAGGGTGGAAGGGTAGAGTGCTCTCTCTCCTTATAACCAGGTGATGAGAAAAGCATGTAACATAGGGCCTTCTCTACCAAAACAGCCACCAACTATAAAGCTGATTCAGAGTTATAGAGAACCCTCCGAGCTGAAGCCCACCACAAAAGGTCTCTGGTTCAGCTGTGTGTACACCACTTCGATATTCTGCAGTTCCAGAGCTCCTCACTAACTCAGCAGCATGCACTGGTGGGCCCTGCCTCTCCTGCTCAGATTGCAATCAGCCTGCACTTGGCTAATATATTTATTCTCTCTGTAAAATGTTTTTAATCAGTTTTTCTTGGTCTAAGAAAACATGACTTCTCACTCATCCACAGTTCTGCCTTTGAAGATTCTCAAGGTAGCCTACTGAAACCAGCAATCTCACACAGAATCCAATTTTTCAGAAAGAGGAAGGGTTTTGTTGTTTCAGATGACACTCACTCTAGGTCCTTCACCTCAATGTACTCCTTTGTCCTATATGATATTCAAATGCATTCAGCAGTGGCTTTATTTTCAACCAGCACCTAGAGAAAGTGATTCCTGTTTTTCCTGATGCTTATTATTCTGATTTTTTTTTTTGCATTACAACTGTTTTTTCTAAAGTCATATTCTGAAAGTTTTATTTTTCAGCAGAAACGTGAGCATTTACCAGACTCACTGGCAAGAAGAGTCACAGAGTAAGAGAAAAGGAAGATTTTCTTTAAACAGTTTCACTTACTGTTTTGATGCTACATCAAAACTATAGCCTGGCATTGTTTCTTCACTACCATTTAAGTGATGGGAGTACTACTGGAAACAGGTGCCTATATACCCTCCATCCTAACATCTTTGAGCTGTGCTAAGACTGAGTGAACAACGTGGCTTTAAAACCTTTCTGCCATTTTTAGACCCTGCTTCTACCAGTGCAGCCACAGAAGAGGTGCACAATTTCCAGTATAACGCTAGGAGACTCAATAAACCAAGCCAGATTAAAATAGATGTGGACAAGGCTAGAATGTCTACTGCTTTTGCTGTATGTTCAGCCAGGCAGTGTGAAAGGCATGCACAGGAAACTACATAGGCAGAAAATGTTGCTACGAATATTACTCAAGACAACTTTGGTTTTCTGTTTGTTCACTCTTCACTGTTACTACACTTTTGATATTATTTTGTGGCTTGATCTTGTTTAAATTTGGTCTACATTCACACCACTGCCTTTTTCTCAGGACTGAAGTGAAATGTATTCTTTAGCCAAGCTCCTGTCAGAACCTATAGTAAACTGAATTGGTGAAATGACAGAACACTATCCTGCTATTTTCGAGAAAAATTAACCGGACCACAAAACTGCCATTATATATCAGCATATATAATTATATAATCTCCAATAGCAACGTGACAAACTGATGTGGATACCACTACATGGGCAGGCTTTGTGCTACCCTGCCTAAGTGACCTTCTGAACAGTTTATCCATCCATACGGTATCTCTGTAAGAGAATAACCCCTTATGAACTTCATTTTGCTGGTAAGAATAAATTGCTTTTATTCTTACTGGCAAAGAAGTGCTTTGGCACAGTAACTTGGTCACTTACTTCTCTGAGTAACAGAGAGCAGGAGGCGTGACAGAGTCCTGTCTAATACCTGCATGATGCAGGCTGCCATGTGTTAACAGTGTGCATTGTTACTGGAGAACTAGGCTTGAGATTTCCTCTGAGTGGTCCGGGAATTAAACATGCTTTATCTCACTCTTGCGTAAGTCGATTTGAAATATCAGAAATATTTAAATCTTTTAATACTCACTCTTCTGTATTTTCATTCCCAAGCCATTCATTTAGCTTCTTTTGCCGAACTCCTTTTTGAGTCAGCCACCTGGACAATAAATGGAAATAAAATTAGTTGTTAGTCACAGGGGTTGGATACCAATTAAAAAAAACCCCAAAAACCAAAAACAACTTAAAAAAGGTATTTTGTTAATTCATAATGATACTCACATCAAGTACTGATCTCTTGTCTTCCTCAGCTGTATGAGGTCTGGCTTAATGCTGTTCATACGTTTGTCTATCTCCCTGTATTCAGCTGCTTGCTTCTTTAAATCCTCTTCTAATCTACGCCTGCTGTCCACAATTTCACTTATTCGAGACTTCAGTTTTTCATAGTTGTGCATAATTCTGAATGGAATAATGTGGTAGGTTACACCCTGATGACGTCTTATTCATAACATTATAATCTGCTACTTACCAGTGTAAACACTTAAGAGAACAGATTATTTCTCTAGACACAGCTATACATTTTTTGCAAGTTCACATCTCCCCCATTTAAGGCTTGCTTTGCTTAAAACTGAACTTTAAACTTGCCATTTTGCTTTAGTTTCAGGCAGATCTATATATGGCATTGTTTCTTGCTTCAAAATCATACAATTTGAAATGCAAATATACAAATACTGACCTTTGTATTTCTTTCTCGTTTCCTTCCCGTTTAAATTTTTCAATGTATTCCTTACTGTATCTTTCTTGCGTCTGGCACTGCTCTTCAAATATTTTAATTGTTTCATTAAATGCCTCAATAGCTGTTTTTTTCATTTGAATTTCCTGAAAATACATAATTGTTATCACAGTTGTTGTCAAAAAGAGGGGATGATTTATTGGCTTGTACCACAGAAACACTTCACTATATTGTTAACAGAAGACTTCACTATCCCTTTAGCAGAAGACATTCTGTCTGCAAAGCCTTGTAACGAAGAGCGAACTGGCCTGTGCAAAAGGCTACCATGATGAGGCTTTCCAAGAAAGAAAAACTGCTAGACAAAGAGCTAGCTGCAAAGTTTGTTTTGCATAAATAACTTTAATTAGTGATGATAAGAGCCTTATGGCAATGCACTTGGCCCTTCATACCAACTACTGTGCTTAGAGGCACATCTGGCTTTCTGAAATAAAAGCCTAAGGCATTGGCCTGGACAGGTCTCAAGAGGCCATCTAGTCCTACGTAGCTAGTTGACAGCGAAGTCTTTTAAGTCATTAGTTAAGTTGCCTGCACTTCTCCACCTTTCTTCAATTATTTTGTCCTATTTCCTGCACATTTTAAGAAACAGTCTTGATTCTGGGTCTGTAAAACAGAACTAATTCACTGGCACTTCAAGACTTGGCTAATAATTAAGCTGAAAGAAGGACAGAGCTTTTTCATTCCTGCACTGTATCTATACATGTCATCTCTCTACCCTCCATACATGAAACCAGACCCTTCAGAAACTAGTAATAAAATACAATGCTTCTCTGCAAACGTGTCTTGAAAACTGTAACTTAGCTTGATGAGGTCAGTATGCAGAAGATAGTTCTGTGCTTGTTTTGGATGTCAGACTTGGTCACAGGGTGGGTTAGGTTACAGGTGGTGACTTCAAACATGAGTAAGCGATTCTACTATACTGAGCAAGCACATCGGATATTTTTCCTCTTTTGGGCAATAGTAGTGGTGGTGGAAGGGAGGGGGAGGAGGATGGAAGATCGCAGTATGCATTTACAATACCGTTTCTCTGAATCTACAGAAATCTTCCATTCTCCCTTTGGTTTCAAATCTAGCTCACCTGAGATGTTCTTGTGTAGTCTTCATAGAGTCTGTCATACTCTCGGCTTTTTTCTTGGAACTGGGTATTATATTCATGTAATTTCTTTCCCACTGCTTCAATGCTATCCTCTTTTACAACTTGATCCTGGAAATGACCAGAAGGAAAGATACTCCATAAAGAAACAATCATATTGCACAGATTTTCAGGATAAAACTGCTCAAAATTGCCTAGATAGTTCTGTGGCAAATATGACTCCTCATTCATCAATATGGAGACACACTAAACGCATAATATGGAAATGAGAAACTAATGAGGTATTTAAAAATAAATAAGGGTATTTATTAACGTAACTTTATTTCTGAATAATGCATTTGCAGTATTTAAAGTTTAAATTATTTATATGCAAACTGCAGAGTTGGTTTTAAACAAAATCATCCATTTTTATACGCACTTTAGTTTTTCAAATATTAACAGAGCTGAAGTTCTTAATGATAAATGACTCCCCACTCTGCAGCATTTCTCTGTATTTAAGTGAAACCGAGGAAAATAGACCAAATTACCTGCTGGTACTTAGATACCGGGTACAGTAATTTTACATCCAGTTTAGGATTATACTGGGCTAGAGATTCATTCCGGTAGTGGTTTATTAGCTCGACCACAGAGTTGAAAGTTAATGGGTCAGAAAAGCCGTATTTTCCATCTCGATGAAATATTTTGATTAGTTTGTTATTTCCTCCTTTCCTGCAAATAAAGTTCGTTGAAAAGTTAAGCGTACTTCAAGTACTATTTCCTAAAAAACACTGGATTTAAAATGCAGCATTGTATTTCACTGTCAAGTACTATAGACCTAGCCTAACTAATCTCACCTTAGCGTAAGCGTGTAGTCCCCATGCATTTTGGTCGAAGCATCTCGCACCAAAAAGGTACCATCAGCAGTGTCTCGAAGCTTCTCATTTACTTCTTCTCTAAAATGAAAGCAAAAGTAACCCATCATTTCAGTTACTTCTTACTCATTTATCCTCTCGCTCGGCTCAAAATTTTTCTGTTTTAAAGTAAGTGTTTTTTATAAGTCTCTTGATATCTTCATTAATAAATACAGTTATTTAATAGCTTATTTAATTTTGCTGGAGAACAACTGTGACACACAAATGGTATATCCTATGTTCTCTCACTGCTGGACAAAATTACATTAATGCAAAGGTCTTTCTGCTTGTTCATACAAGCCTGAACAATTGGAGCAGCCATTGCTGGTCTAATGTACCTATATATAGTACAGTTAAAAATGTTCCTAATACATTGGCACTTGTTAGTCTGGCTTGCTAACTATTGTGCCTACAGTTGAGGTTCGGGATGAAAGACAAGAAGAAAATACTTATTTCTTGGTGCTGTCCTTTCGTACTAGCATTTCATACAGCTGTCTTAAAGTAACAAAACAATCATTTCACATTCTAACTGACTGCCAGTAACTTTTTAGTCATGTTTGGAATAAAACCAACAGTAATACGTTTGTGTTGGAAAATATCCTATAAATGGCTCTTATAACTGTTTTTTCTACACTTAAGCATAAAACATACACACAGCATAGCGGGAACATACAGTGAAACGTAAGAAATACATGTCTTGAGGTGATTTACCTTGAGATATCTCCCCAGTACCATTCAGCATCTTGCAATGACATGTTGTTATTCATGCCGTTGTTAGTTACAGTATTAGGTTTTGGTGGCTTAGGAGGCAGAGCTGCAAATGAAAGGGAAAAAAAAAGTTAATTGTAACTCACTGAAAACCTGACCATACATTCCTTGGAATTACACATTATTACATGAATGAGAAAAAGAAAAAAGAATAGTTACTCAATAGTTTACCGTCACTAATAATCTTTAAAAGACATTACAGGAATGAAGATATTTTACTGAAAACAATATAATCCAAAAAGAAAGATGTCCTGTTTCAAAAAAGTATGTTACTCTTGTAATAATGTATTTTAAGCAAAATATAACACCGTATTTATTTCCTCACCCTGTGAAGAAAGCATTTAAAAAAAAAATCAGTTTTTCTTTACCTTCTTCCACTATCTTCAGGTGAATACAAATAATAAAACATGTAAAATTTCTTTTCCCCCCACCCCCTCCTCCTGTGTAATGATCCTAGAGGAATGCTGCTGCTTCTTATCTAGCAGCTGAGAAATAAAAGATGCAAACCCACAGCAATACTGTATATTTTAAGAAGTGGGTTTCTGTGATCCTCAGCATTCTGTGCAATGATTTGCCAAAAAAAAAAAAAAAGAAACCAACCCACCACAAAAAAAAAACCCAACCCAACAACCCACACTTTAAGAAACCCATCTGTGACCCAAATATCCCTTGTGTTAATCTTAGTATTCTACACAATAAATTGTGTTCCAAATGCCAGGACTGATTAAAAACCACATCCCCCTTCTCTCAATGTCAAAGCTGCATACATATACCATTGGGTGCCTGAGAAGATACTGCAGCACTCCAGACTTAGTAGCAAGGGGGACTACATTGGATTCGGGATTAAAAGGGGAAAAAAAAAAAAAAAAAAAAAAAATCAACCCAGCTCTTTTAGTTCTCCAGTAAGTATATCACTCCTTACGAACGTCCCTTCCTTATGCATGATGACTGGCTACAAACGACGATATTTTTAAAGTTGCAAAGAATATCAAGACAGCATAGAATCTTTGTATGATATGAAAAAAGTGACACAGTATCAGGTAATCAATATTGCTAGGTTTTAAAACCTGTTTTTCCTCAAACAATCAAAAACAATGATTTGTAATCATTGTTTCAGGAAATAAGTGTTATTACAGCATCTCCTTTTAATCACAATTTGGAACAGAGAGCAAAAATAATAATAAAAGAAATAGAACACTTATAATAGCAGAACTAGAACCACATCTGACAGAATAAAATCAAACCAGAAACAGGTCAGTTCAGTAAAAATTCAGTTAAAGAAGCAGACAGGTATTTCTACAGGTTCTGATTGTAATTACTATAACCATGCACTAAACCACAATTTAATTCTAATTTATTAAAAAAAAGGAATAAACTATTTGTATCAATGACAAAGTAAAGAAATCCTGCATATCCACTAAGACTTTTCCAGCAGCTATTTAAAGACCAAAATGAATTAAGTCTTCCATAATAAGACTGCAGTTTTACCTGGTGGATCCATTTCTATGTAAAACATCAAGTCTGAGCCACAATTTATATCTGCCTTAGGATATTCTATATCCAGTTCTTCCATATTCCAAACAGTATTGTACATTTGTATGAGTTTCACTGAGTAAGCTCAGATACAAGAAAAGAGTCAGGCTCTCTTTGTAATGGTGTCTTGGAATTCATTTTAAAACCTATAAGGGGCTGCACTGTAACCTATTACATCATAATCCTCAGCCAATCATGTCAAAATAATGTCACCAGACCACTCCTGTTTCATCATTTTGTTCTACATTAATCTTAAAACAATTTCACTTTCGGAAAGAATCTACATTTAGCAGAACTGCAATATAAACCTGGTATTACAAACAAAAGGAGTGAGTGGACTCTCCTCGCCTGCTGTCCCGGCTCGTTTTCCTGACTTTGCAACATGGTACAGTCCAATCCTGGCAGGATGACAAAAGGCTGATATGCTGCAGCACGTAGCTCTTACACACACGCGCACACAACGCTCGCACACTCACACACAGGGCAGCTCCCTTCAGAAGTAGGTCGGTCACAGCTCAGTTGCATTCTCCTGCTTGGATGCCTGAAGTTTACCATTCAAAAAGCTTTAAAAGGCTGCTGGACCTACTGTACATATTAAGGATGCAGAAGGCAAGATAGCACGACACTCGTGTGTGTGTATCCATTACACCCCTATTTTACACATATATACACACACAGAGAAATATCTACCTCCACATAATGATATACAGATTGTTTTTAAACTGTGCAGTTTTCTATTATTTTAGTGGACACACAGGTCTGATATACTTCGCATTATTATGTAAAACGTGCTTACTCCTGAGAGGTCTTCTGCCCGTTATCATTTTGTAGTAAAATACAATTCCAATCGATCTAGATTAACTCATTTTGAAATCCAAAAACCAAACACTGTAATCTTAGATTCAGCAGACTTGCCAAAACCGTGGAAGAAAGTAAAAACTGAGCAAGACCTTGAAACATGATTTTGCTGAACATAAAAAGCCAGTCTGTCAGGATACAACAAGATTTAGTCTGCCTTTTCACACTGTTTCTCTACCCTGTTCTCATTGAGATATTTATCAAGTTAATTGTTTTTAAAAGCAAGAGTCCCTTGTCAGTGTCTTCTTCCTTACTCGACTTTATATCATCAGTATCCTCCTACCATTTAGAAATATTCCTTCCTAACACAGCCTGCCCCCCCTCGTCCCCCAGTCACCGGCCGTAACTCTCTCAGACCTCTTGGAAGAAACAGGCACAGAACACACTATTAATTCCAGAGCAGAACGCTATGTAAAGCAACGTGAACGCTGTACACTCGCTATAATCTATGGGGGCAGAAAACCAGATACCAAAAATAACCACAACAAGGAGTAGCTGTAGCAACTATCTGTGCCTGCATCATAAGAAATCCTGGTGTGGCTGAAATGGGCTTTAGCTCACAAATACTCATTAAAAAAAAAATTAAAGCAATTTACATCCTTCCCAAGTATTTCACACATATCTACCCCCCTCTGTGCCGCTCAGCAGCTTGCCCCTTTTAGACGGGCATTAACACACAGGAACATGTCTGGAGTACCAACAACCACAAAGAAATGCATGCTAGTTTGCTTTATATGTTAACAAGCTTAAATTCATTCTGAAGTAGACTCTCCCCCCTCCCTGTTTAGGTAGACATGCTCCAAAGATTCTTTCCATTTCCAAAATGAAACAGGATACTTAAAATCATCCCGGACACAAGTCCAAACACAGAACTTCGGAGGTTTAGCCCACCTGCTACCCGAACAGTTGAGTTGCCAAAGTAATTATTTAGATTAGGTTATAAAGATTTCCTACAAAGACCACGCTGCTGTATTTAGGTCTCATGTGGGATCAGTACGATTTTTTTATTCTACTGAGTAAAGGTTTCCAGGAAAAATTACTTCTCCAGGGTTTCACTGGTGGCCAAATTCTGGACTGCCCACACTTGTATAATCAGGTTAGTGCTCGGCTCGGACTAGCCTAGCTTGCAGGCAAGAAAAGACAGCAGGCAGACAGGTGCGCCCTTATTCCCTGTATAACCTGGAGAGCTACTGAGGTACTTGACTTTCCTTCACCTATCTGAAGACCACGAAAGCTCTACCCGGTAATCAGTTATAGCACAATACTTTCACGAGGTGATGAAGACCACACACACAGAAATTAAAAATGTTACTTACTTTGTAAATTATGCATCACAAATGCTTGCCCTTGTAATACAGCCTGAAAATACAATCCAATAACCTGAAAAATGAACTGGTTTCCTCGTATAAAAATCTTGCTTAAAAACGCCTCGAAAACTCCTTTTACTAGGAAGCTTCCGTGAAGCAATGAAGAAGAAAAAAAAAAATTGCAAGAAAGAGATTGCTCTGCTTTCCAACCAACGTTCCATAAAAGTCCCTAAAAAAGCTGTAACATGCAACAAGAATATCCAAGCTTTGTCTCTCTTCTTAACTGCCTAAGGCTCTGTGCTGTGCAGAAGGTATCCACTTACTGTGGTTCATCATTAAAAAGTGAACCTCACTTTAGTACTGTAAAAAAAAAAAAAAAGAAACCACCACCCTCAGTAGGTTGCACTTCTCTCAGATAAAGATCTCAGTTTCATGATTAACCTGGGCAGGTTCAAATATTTGCTGAGCCAGGGATTTCAGGTGGGGGAGGGGGAGCCAGATTCAAAGTAAAAGTTGTCATCAGCTAACAAGTGGCCAATGCAGGGCTAACTTTCTCATTTTAGCCAAGTAAATGAGAAGACCATTGTGAGAGGCCTTAAAATAGTCTCTGTCACTGGCTACCGAGTGCAGTATTAAAGTCGAGAAAACACCATGAACAGGCAAGCACAGGAAGTGGCTAACTTACTGCAGAAAAAAAAACCCACAATCAAAATCTTGCTTAAAAAGATCTGCACCTCTCAGAGCAGCCATGTGCAAGCAAAATAGACCGCTTGCAAGCACAGCATCCTCCTACACACTCACGCTGGATCAGAAATACAGGTGCTGCCTGAAGACCCTTAGCATAATCCTGTGAGGCATTTTATCCATTCCCTATAAACTGAAAATTGTAGAAAAAAACCACCTGTCCGGGTCCATGGTGTTTTTCAGTATGTCAGGACTGTTCATGTCTTGGGCAGGCAGTGGGGAAAAGGGACTGCTCAGAGAGGGAGCAGTTTACGTCAAATATATTTTCCTTGCCTTTGTGTTTGGTGGAGATCAGACTTCCTAAAGGCACACAGCAGCAAATGAAGAGCCTGCTCCACTTTGCCTACAGAGGTTAACTGCTCTGCCAGCTATACATTTACAAGGAAATAAATTCTGAGTGAAAGCAGCAGATCACAAGATTTAATTCAGAGAAATAAGAGAAGGGGTTTAATATTTTCCTCCCACTTGTTGGAAACAATGAGAATTTCTAGTAGCTGTGTTCCTTGAAACCAGCTTGCACTCCTTACAGACACTGAAAAGTTCTCCCAAACACTCCACCTCCCAAAATCCTCCTGTGTTACAAAATGCCAAACCCACTTGTACTTCATAATGAAATCCCAAATATCTGCAGTAAATTTTTGATGTTTTACAGTTGATTGATTAGCTTCATCCATAACGATCCCTTGCTTTTCTGGTTTTAGCCTCTGTCTACTCGCACAATTACCATTTCTGCCTATAACTTAAAGCAGCACAGTCATAAAGCTACAGACTACTTCAAATGGAGATGGTAACCTGTGTTTCTGAACTAATCCAACTTCTGACAGTAACTGATATGCCTCCTATTTACTGTTAAAATTACTGAAGGTGTTGATCCCACTTCTTAGTTTACAGGGCCATAACACAGAAGCATATTCTCAAAGAAGAAAAAACAAACCCAAACCTGATTCACTGAACTGTTTATCATTTTTAAAAGCACAGGTACCCAGACAGGCATAAAAAGTAAGGCTTTGTTCCTATTTTCCTGGATTCCAGTGCCTTGTGCAAAAATGCATTCCTAATCATCCTGCAGAAGGGAATCAAGTGTCCCGTCATAAAAAGGTACCAGCATGCACACACCTGCATTTTCACACAGTTGCCCTATCTGGCCGTTTTTTGCAGTCATACTCACAGCGTTGTTCTACCTATAAAGCACGTTTTCTCTGACACACTGTGCACGAGGCAGGATGACATCTGCCCGGGTTTGACAGCCTCGCACATGCGTGTTGCACATAACACACATCAGTCTGTAAGAAACCCCTGCTTCGTCGCACCTGTTTGGGTTTTATCCATCACTCTCCTCAGGTACGGAGGAGCCGAGGACAGGGCCGGAACGCCGACCAAGAACGGCGCTGCTGGGAGCAGCGGCCGGCGCCTTTAGCCCGGCCTCATTCGCTTCGGAGGGGAGCCCCCTGCCGGGCGCGGCGCGGCCCCGCCGCC